TAGAAGATTTATCAAAGACTTCTCCAAGATTTCTAAGCCCTTGTGCACATTGCTTCAACAAAACCAACCCTTTGTGTTTGACGAATTATGCCTCGACGCATTTACTGAGCTGAAACGACAACTGATCTCGGCACCCATTGTAGTCCCTCCCGACTGGACATCACCATTTGAGCTGATGTGTGATGCAAGCGATTATGCCGTAGGATCTGTTTTGGGGCAACGCTGAGGTAAAATCTTTCATGTTATTTATTACTCTAGCCGCACTTTAAATGAAACACGATTGAACTACACCACCACTGAGAAAGAATTACTTGCCGTGGTATTTACTTTTGATAAATTTAGACCTTACCTAATAGGCACTAAAGTTATTGTTCACACTTATCATTCGGCTATAAAATACTTAGTGAACAAAAAGATGCCAAGCCTAGACTTATTAGGTGGATCTTACTTTTGCAAGAATTTGACTTAGAGGTGGTAGATAGAAAAGGAACTGAAAATCAAGTTGTTGATCACTTATCTAGGCTAGAGAACAATTTTGAATGCCATGACACTGTAGATATCCAAGAGGAATTTCCTGATGAGAAAATTTTATATGCCGCGGCAATCCCGTGGTACGCTGACCTTGTTAATTTTCTTGTTAGTGGAATTGTGCCTTTTGATTTGAATAGTCAGGCTAAAAAGAAGTTCAAGCACGATGCAAGGCACTATTTTTGGGATAACAGACATGCCAGACTAGTTGTTTTCACTTCCTTCACATCAGTGGAACATTGTAAGTTCTTCAACATATTAGTAATAGCGGAGAGTTGAGCGGACACCAAATCTTTGGCTTCTAACTGAATGCTCCAGGTGCTCTCCTCCCACTCCCAAGTCTTAAGGAAGGAAATTGATAATCATTGTTAGCAATTCTGTCCAAGATAGCAAACGCCTCCGTAGGTGATTTATCTAGCAATGTCCCATTTGCCGAGGCATCAGTAACATCCTCGTGGGTGCATTGAATCCATTATAGAACATGACTACTTGAGTTCAATCATGAAAACCATGATTTGAACACTTTCGAAGCAAACTCTTGTAACGATCCCAACACTCATACATGGATTCGTCGTCGCCCTGACGAAAAGATGATATTTCATTCCTTAGCTGCGTATTCATGTTTGGTGGGTTGTACCTCAATAAGAAGCTCTTGCAAAGATCGGCCCATGATTCCATCGAACCGGCTGATACACCACTCAACCAAGCCCTTGCTCGGTCACGCAATGAATACGGAAAAAGCTTTAATTTCAGAAAATCCTCATGCACTCCTTCTTGGCGGAAAGAATCACAAACTTCCAGAAAATTGCGAATGTGCTGCCTGGCATCTTCAGTTGGCATACCCCCAAACTGCCCAATGGAATTCAACATATTGAACATGACTGGTTTCAGCTCGAAATGTGCAACTTGAATTTCGGGTGCCACAATCCCAGGATTCAGATCATCCAGCATCGGATTTAAATGATCTCGAATAACAAGAGGCCTGATAGCAGGTTCAACATTGTTTAATGCCGCGGCATTCTGATTTCCGTCATCTTGACCAATGCCTTGGTTTCCAATCTGATACATATTTCCTTGAGCACGTCTTCTTCTTCTAAAGAGTCTTTCAATCTCAGGTTCTATCGGTTCCAAAGGCTCTTCAGAATTTCTTCTAGGCATACACTAAATAAACCTGAAAAATAAAACAAAAATATCAAGTAAACTATACAAAAATAAAAATACAAAACAAAATAAAATGCTCTGGCAAAACTAAATAACTTCAGGCTGCCAATCCCCGGCAACGGCGCCAAAAACTTGTTGCGTGTTGTGAGTACTATAAAATATACACAAATAATGTGCAAGTATACACAATCGCTCAAGTAATATAATGATGAGTGAGTATCGTCTCCACAGGGATTGGGTGAAATCACAAAAGTCTAACCAAAGCAATGCAATATTCTATCTAAGTATAGTTAGTCTTGATATATACAAATATCACGGCAATGGATATGTGTATGCTGGTGGATGCGGATTGATGGTGTGATGGTGTAGCCAATGGAAATGCAGTGGTAATGATGATGTTTAATATTGAGTATGGTGAAATGTCAAGGCAATAAAAATGGTAAAAACAGTAAATAAAAAGATAAATAAAATAAGAAGAAAATAATCCTCACGTGACAAGGTTCCAATGAAATGAATGGTAAGGATTGGTCTAAGGTTGCTAAACTTATTTCTCAAGTATATTTAAGCTATCTTGTCTTTACTTACTCGACAGGGCTTTCCTAAGGTGTTCAAAAGAACCTAACAGAATAGGATGCCAAGGCATCTGCTCTCACTCAATGATGTTGGACAGCCTACCCTATTGATCAAGACACCCTTTTTAGTCGTTGAAATCCTATCATAGTCTCTTCCGAGATCTAAGGGATTAAGTTATAATATTCCTAGGCCGGTTCAAAGCCCCTTGAAAATATCATAACCCATTGCTTATGAGGATCTTATCTTGCGTTTATTCCGAATACTTACAAGTATTTTTAGCTTAGAATTCTTATGAATACCTAACCTTCATCTAAGAGATGGACATTTCCATGCCTCTTACAAGCCTAGATAGTGAAGCATTCATAAGCAAAGCAAATAAAGAACCAAAATAAACTTAAATATACCATTAAAAATAAATTTTAAACAACCGTTCAACCAACCACCACCAAATAAGTTAGTTCATGGTGGGGTTCGAAATATCCAAACACAAAGTCATGAAAATATTCGTTCCAAAAACCCACAAAATAATATAAAAATAGCAGCAAAAAGGGAAGTGAGAAGAACCTTCGACGTGCCACCGGAGGTCTCCTCTCGGCCACCACAAACCACCTAGCTCGCTAGCTCTTATCGACGCCTAGCTTGCCACTCCTTGGAGCTTTATCAAAGAAGGAATATCCCAAGGAAGAAGAAATGAAAAGAAAATAAAAATGTGATTTTTTTCTCTCTCTGTCCGTTTGTCTCTCTCTCCCATGAGGTGTCATATATAATAAAAAATATCTAGGGGTAATGATGAGTTTGTTGGGTGCAAAATACCCCTCATACCCCTAGAATCACATGTTGTGCATGAACCTTATCCTTCAAGTGGCGGTGGTCCTTTGGCAGCTCTGGCATGTGGTTACAGCAGTCCTTCACGTGCAGAGACAGCTGTCCAGTGCCAGCTGTCTTGATGCAGAAATATCTTTTTATCTTTTTCTGCGCCAGAAATGCCAAGGCATTTCAATCTGCTTTAGCAACGTGTGATGCCGCGGCATTACTTCCCAAAGAATCCTTTTTCTTGCTATTCCCTGCACACCATAGATAAACTGCACCTTTCCCTCAAACAGCACCATTAAGAAATAAAATAGCACAACCACCACAAATGCAACTATATGCAACTACATGATCCTAAAATGACTAAAATGAGCTTTTAAACAAACAATAACTTAAGTGAAAAAGACTTTAAAATTAGCCCTTTTAGGAAGTTAACAATCAGCTTTCTGAATCGTTTGGAAAATAATGTCATTTCCTCGTCATCATCATCGTCATTCGAATCACTCTCATCTTTTTGTGGATTTGAGAGCAACTCCAATGTTTTTCTTTTTCTCTTTCTCCTTTGGTGTCTCGTCAATCTTATAGAGATTCACTTCATCTTCAAGCATCATTTCATGAGTGAGAAGGGAACCGATTAGTTCTTCAAGAGTTAAGGACGTTAGGTCCTTAGACTCGATGATTGCGTCTTCTTTGATTTCCACGATTTTGGAAGGGAGTAGACTAACTTCCTCACAAGCTTTTAATTTGAAATGATCTCTCCATATGATTTGAGACCGGAGTCAAAGTTTGAAGTAGAGGCCATTGATGACTTTGATTATCGATGTAACTCTTCCCGAATCGACTCAAGAGGCGATTAAACCTTCAAATGAGTTAGGCTCTGATGCCAATTGTTGAGTTAATCGATTGACGAAATCGGCCAAGAGGGAGTGAATTGGCAATTAAAATTTTGTGGAAGCTTTTGCATAAAATTGAAAGTATTTACACAACGATTTAAATGATTCGACTTTCTCAATCAAAGTCTACGTCCACTACCTTAGCTATCCACACTAAGGATTTTCCAACAAATTCACTAATTTGTTCTTTCTTTTGAGGCCAAAGAGATAACCTTACAACACCATCAAGAATTATACCCCAATTCTTGAGAACGCTCTTTCTCAAAGAGAAGATTACAAATTTCGCAAACTTACAAGAAAAACCTCACTAAGGTAAGATGTTTGCACAATTCTAAAACAAAGAAAGAACACTCAAGAATAAATATAATTGAACACAATAAGTGTTCTTGAAAGCAAAATGAATATTGAATGAAAAATAGCTTGAAATGCTCAAACTTGAGGTTTAATATTTTCTCTTTGATTCTCTCTTGATTTTAGTGGTTTGTTGTTTCTTGTTATTGATCAATGGCTTCTAAGCTTGTTTAAATACACCTTGAATCACTTCTGAACGTTGAGGATCATTAATGAAGTTATTGGAGCTGTTTAAGTGTGAAAACAATTAATATTTCTGCTTGAGCGTGGGGGGAATCGGTACCCCTTATGGGAAATCGGTTCCCTAAGTGTAAAATTTAAATATTTCGACCATTAAATATGAGAGAATCAGTTCCCTCCGAACATTCTGTTTTTCTCGGAGCCAAACCATTCATGGGAGAATCAGTACCACTTGGGGGAGAATCGGTTCCCTCTGAGCAATCTGAAATTTTTGACTTTGAAATGATTCAAAATATTTTGTAAAATTGTTTTAAAATTATTTGAAGATTAAAACTTAATTTTACACTTGAGTAAGGATTAAAAATGACATTTGAAAGATTTGGAGTAATATTTTGATATTCGAATAATTATATCGAATATACTTAGAAAATCTTTTTGGAAAATCTTAAAATTCATTTATCTTAATTTGTTATATCGAAATATCAAAATGTTTTAAACACCCACTTCCGTAATATAGGCATATTGAGTTCTTTATCAGACAGTTCTTGCATCTCTTTCACAGCAGCAGAGACAAGCACTAGAAGCTGTTGATAAAAATCGTTAGCAGGTGTACATTCCCCACGATCTTGTTCGATTTTCATAGCAATAGGTTTCAGGCGATCCGGAATATTATCTTCAGCACTGTTTATTTCATCTTGTAAGCCATGGAAGTCTGAAACTTTTACGTCGCATTTGTTCTCATCAATAAGTTCCCTTTTTAAATCTTCCACTCTCCTTTGCAAACTTCCACCAGGCTTGTTAGTTGCATTTGCTTCCTCCGAAAACAATGAATCAGGAAGAGAAAACTAAAACAACACCAATATAAGAACTCAGGGTAAGCATTAATAAATCCACTCACAAGAATAAATTTATTTTATGAATTTTAAAAGCCTTGATAAAAAATTAAACTACTCGAAATCCCTCGTCTACACACACTCTTATATTTGAAAATGTAATAATCAAATGATCACGATTACTAACACTGAGACTCTAAACAAACAAATGGTCAAGATGGAGAGCAGTCGAGGACAAATAAAAAAACTTTTGACTTGAGCACTGAGACATAATAATAAGTTATTTTATATAAGAAGAATGTCAATAATCTGAAAATAAGTCAAGATGTTGTAAGTGTTTAAATACAAATTCAAAATGTATTAGATATAGGAAAATTTTAAAAATAATTAAAAAAATCAATTGAGTTAAAAGGTAACACATTACATCCATACAAGAAATTTACGTACCATAGCTGAAAATTCTTCAGAATCATTTCCTGATTCTTCAGAAAAAGGCCTTGGAAAAGCAGCAGAAAACTTGAACAATGATAGAAAAAGAGTCAAAAACTCAGAGTAACATTATACATTATATATGTAGACACATACATGCATTCAGAACTAGTGCAAGGCCGCAAATGTCATACCTTTTCTCTTGGGGCCTCCTTGTTGACCACCTGAAATTTAAGGGAAACAAACAAATGATCGAGATGGATAACAATCAACAAGCAAGAGTCTAAACTTATGATTTGAGCTTCGAGACATGAGAGCAAGTTAGTATGTTTAAAAACATGTCAGTGATCTGAAGGAAAAAAAAGGCTCAATTTCACATCCTAAATTTATTAGATATTGGGATACTTTTAAAATAATTAAATAAGTCAATTGAGTTAAAAGATAACATACATATCCATGACAATAAATTTACATACCCCAGCAACCAAGCATTCTTCAGCAAGGTTTCCTGGTATATTGTAGATTGCATTTTCTTCCAAACCAAGCTTCGGAAAAGCAGTAGAAAGTTTAAACAACAACAACGAAAAAAGTGTCAATAACTCGGAGTAAGCATTATACATTATATATGTAGACACATACATGCACCAAGAACTTGTGCAAAGCATAAAATGTAATACCTTTTCTCTTGTGGTCTCCTTGTTGACCACCTGAAATTTAAGAGAAACAAACAAATGATTAAGACGGATAACAATCAACAAGCACGGGTCTACCTTATGACTTAGCATTGAGACATGATAGTTGGTTAGTATGTTTAAAATCATGTCAGTGATCTGAAAAAATGCTCAAATTCATATCTCAAATAAATTTTCATACCTCTGTAGCTGAGGTTTCTTCAATGATATTGTCTTTTGACAACTTGTTAGTTACATCATCTTCCAAAACGAATGGAAAAGCAGTAGAAAGCTAAAAGAACACCAATGATAGAAGGGTTACGAACTTGGAGAAAGACTTATACATTATATATGTAGACACCTACATGGACTCACAACTTGTTCAAGACAGCAAATGTCATACCTTTTCTCTTAGAGTCTCCTTGCTAATCCCCTGAAATTTAAGAGAAACAAAAAATTAGTTGGGTGGAGACTAGTCAACAAGTACAACTTGAGCATTCAGACATGAGAATAGGTTGTTTTGTATAAAAGAAATGTCCCGTCTGAAAATAAAATCAAGAAGTTGTAAATGCCCAAATATATTAGATATGGTTTATATCTACATTAAGCAGTGCATAGGTTTTTGAGAGAAGCGGTTTTGATGCCATAACAGAGAAACTGAGATTTTATAAAATCATTGTCCTATTTATAATCCGTTACAAGGATTTTGCGTACCTCACCACAGATGATTTCTCCAAGCTCACTTGATTGTGCTGAGTCCTGAAAAAACCCAAGTTAGGAATAGAGGTTTAGACATTAAACTGATAATTAGACTTTTCCTTCTTCCAAGGAGGAAGCCATTGTAAGTAGGGGATAGAAGAAAGAAAAGTCAATGTTAGATTCAAATACATGTCTGAATATATATATATATATCAAATGAATTAAATCCTTCAATTAGTAATTAGATTTAGAACTAAAGAAATGCAATCAAACCAATTAACTAAAGGTACCTTAGCTTGTTTTTTATCCGATTCTTTTATCTTTTGTTCTATTGCTTCAAATCTCCAGAACATCTTAACAAATAATGTGGCCTGTTTACTCACGTTCTGTTTCTTTCCTATATTCTCCAATATGTTGTCCAGGTCAGACGCAGTAGGCAACTGCCCATTGTTCAGTTACTTCAGTATGTTGTCCAGGTTAGAAGCAGTAGTCCACTGCCCCGTTTTCAGTTCCTCGTCTATATACTTCTGTATGTTGATCAGGTCAGACCGAGCAGACCACTTCGTTGAGATTTTGTCAATGTTTTCGACTAGTGATGAAAAGTGTTTTCTCGCATCATATTTGATCACTAGTTTCATAACCTGTAGACAATTTAACATATCTGCAGATTTGTCCTGCATTTACCAAATTCATACAAATTAAACAATAGTTATGAACCAAAGCATGGATACTAATAGCGAAAGTATGAATCGAAATGAAGTACTAGTGACAAAGTTATTAGATTTACGTTCTTCATCCGTCGAAGTAGCCTATCTTTCAGAATCTTGAGTACCTGCGGAGGGGATCTCTTCTCAATGATATGTAGTACTCTAACAGGCTTTTCTTTTCCCGTTGGTTCCACTGGTTGGGAAGCTTCAGCTGATTTGCTAACATTGGGAGACTGTTGTTTCCTTGGCCGAATCGGGGTCAATTTTTTCATCTTAGTATTGGCCCGGTCTTGAACTATACCACAAGCTTGCTGTTGGCTGTTCAACTCCATAGCAGAATCTGATTGTTGGAAAGCTTCGGATGGTTCCCCGACATCATTGGTTCGACACCCTTTCTTCCTGCATTTTCCTTTTCCTTTTGGAGCTTTCCGTTTCCTTTGTCCGGTCATTCCTTGCAAATTGTTCTCCAATTCGAGTGCAAAAGTACGACCCTCACCGTCAAGGGATGACGGGAGTGATTCAACAGTAGTGCCCTCATCTATCGTCATCTTGCAGGAATCTGGCAATGTTTTATACCCGACAAATTTTTCTCAAACAAATCACAAAATAAACCAACAAACCAGTACCAAAACACAAACACAATTTACTCGAGAAATTAAAGCAGCATATACTATACTTTGAATAAGGAAACCCAGATCAGATCATTTAATGGATGGACATTACATCAAGGATAAGAGCTTGCAATTGACCAAACATCAATCATCTTTCTTTCAAACAATCACACAATAAACCGACGAACCAACCAGTACCAAAAATCCAATCACAAAAAAAAATTCCTTGAGAAATTAAAGCAGCATATACTATGCTTTAAATAAGGAAACTCAGATCAGATCAGATCATTTAATGGGTGAAAAATTACATCAATATAAGAAACAAGAGGCAAATCAAGGATAAGAACTTGCAATTTACCAAACATCAATCATCTTTCTTTCAAACAAAACACACAATAAACCAGTACCAAAAGTTCAAACACGAAAACACAATTTCCTCGAGAAATTAGAGCAACATATATTATCAGTAAGACAGTAACTATTACTCACCGGTCGGATGTTGTGTCTGCAGAAGTTTAAGTTTTGCAATTCTAAAAAAAAAACCGAAAAATTTTAAAAGCAAATAAAGAATACCTATATAAGGTGTGTATTTACAAGTTTAAGTTTTCACAAGTAAACATTTGAAGGAAAGAATAAGATGAAACCAACGAGTGTTTATAAGTAAAATAAAGATTTGATGTTGATTTTGCTCTTTGATCATTTCGATTATTGTCTTTTGTAGTTGTTGATTAATTTAGAGATCTTATTTATATTTTCTATTTTGGGTTTAAAGAATAAAAAAAATTGTTGAAAACATTAAATTCATATATCAAATGACACTATTTGTAGAATACAAAAATAATATTTCTGGTCTGGGAAATTTTTTATTTCAAAATAATTTTTTTAAACTTCAACAAGTCAATATATCCTCTTGACTTTTTATTAAATAGAAAATCTTCAATTTTAGCCACTCCAACCCAAAGCGTCTGGCTTTATAAGGGATGGTACTGATATTTAGAATCCGAAAATTAAAAACAACCGAACCTCCATAATTAAAAAAGTGCAATAATCCACAAACCTTCAAAGTTTGATGTTGTAAAAGATAAAATATAACAACAACAACAACCATTAAGAGGTGTTGTTTCAGAAAGCCAAGAAAACCCCACATAAATCCAATGTAACTAAATCGAAAATCACAAGTCGTTTTCTAGTTCGCTAACACTAATTTTCTGAACTGGGGTTCATTGTAGAATAACTGAGGTAAGCACGCATATTTTTGTCTAATGAGTTTTCAAAATATGGCACTTGGAACTGCATACGATTAGCCAGGTTGGAGGTAGCTGCCCACTTACGTAATATAGGCATACTGAGTTTATTATCGGGCAGTTCTTGCATCTCTTTGACAGCAGCAGAGACAAGCACTAGAAGCCGTTGATAAAGTTTGTTAGCAGGAGTACCTTCCTTACGATCTTGTTCGATTTTCATAGCAATAGGTTTCAGCCGATCCGGAAAATTATCTTCAGCACTGTTTATTTCATCTTGTAAGCCATGGAAGTCAGAAACTTCCACGTCGCATTTGTTCTCATCAATAAGTTCCCTTTTTAAATCTTCCACACTCTTATGCAAAATTCCACCATGCTTGTTAGTTGCATTTGCTTCCTCCGAAAACAATGAATCATGATGAAAAAACTAAAACAACACCAATACAAGAACTCAGAGTAAGCATTAATAAATGCACTCAAGAGAGTACATTTATTCTATAAATTTAGAAAGCATTGACAAAAATGGAACTCCTCGAAATCCCTCGTCCAAAAACACTCTTATATTTCAAAATGTAATAATCAAATGATCAAGATTACTAACACTAGGACCCCTAAACAAACAAATGGTCAAGATGGAGCAGTCAGGGACAAATCCATAACTTATGACTTAGCATTTAGACACGAATGTCAGTAATATGAAAACAAATGGTCAAAACTTTTGACTTGAGCATCGAGACATGAGAGCAGATTAGTATGTTTAAAAGCATGCCAGTGATCTGAATAAAAACTCAAATTCACATCCCAAATTTATTAGATATTGGGATCCTTTAAAAATAAGGGTAAAGTACACAAATGGTCCCTAACTATAGAATACTACTTTGTTGAGTCCATCAACTATTAAAAATTATAATATGATCCTTTAACTATAAGACATTGCTTTGTTGAGTCTCTCGACAATCAAAAGTTACAAAATAGTTACCCAATTATTCATATATTTCAAACTCATCCTTTTTTCATTAAAAAATTGACAGCAATTAGAGTTGAACGTGTACCCCCTAACTATGATATGATACAATCTGATTCTAGAATCTCAAACAACTATCATATCCCAATAACCATGTTAACGTCCAGGTCAGACGACCATCAATTTTCTAACAGAAAATGACTAGTTTGAAACATATAAATAGTCGGGTGAACATTTTGTAACTTTTAATAGTCGAGGGACTCAACAAAGCAATACCCTATAGTCGAAGGATTATTTTATAACTTTTAATAGTCAAATGACTCAATAAAGTAGTACCCTATAGTTAAGGGACCATTTGTGTACTTTATCCCAAAAAATAATTAAATAAGTCAACTAAGTTGAAAGGTAACACATTATATCCAAGACAATAAATTTACATACCCCAGCAGCCGAGTATTCTTCAGCAACGTTTCCTGGTATATTGTAGATTGGATTTCCTTCCAAAACAAGCTTCGGAAAAGCAGTAGAAAGTATAAACAACGACAATGAAAAAAGAGTCAAAAACTTGGAGTAAGCATTATACATTATATATGTAGACACATACATGCAGCAAGAACTTGTGCAAGGCATAAAATGTCATACCTTTTCTTTTGTGGTCTCCTTGTTGACCACCTGAAATTTAAGAGAAACAAACAAATGATCAAGACGGATAACAATCAACAAGCACGGGTCTAAAACTAATGACTTGAGCATTGAGACATGAGTAAGTTAGTATGTTTAAAAGCATGTCAAAAAGCCTGAAAAAAAATGCTGAAATTCACATCTCAAATAAATTTTCTTACCTTTGTAGCTAAAATATCTTCAATGATATTGTCTTTTGATAACTTATTAGTTGCATTCTCTTCCAAAAACAACGATGTACAGACAGTAGAAATCTAAAACAACAACAATGAAAGAAGGGTCAAGAACTCAAAGTCTTATATATTATATATGTATACACCTACATGCAAGTCGGTCCTGGGCTAGGGCAGGAGGGGCGCCTGTCCAGAGCCCATGAATTTAAAAAAACTTGTTAGTATAACATTAAAATTACATATTTATTAAATTTCCTTTGTATTAGGGACCAATTTCTTTAATTTCGCCTCGAATAAAAGGACGGGTCCTGCCTACATGCACTCAAAACTTGTTCAAGGAAGCAAATGTCATACCTTATCGCTTAGGGTCTCCTCGCTAACCCCCTGAAATTTAGGAGAAACAAACAAATTATCTGGATGGAGACTAGTCAACAAGTACAACTTGAGCATTGAGACACGATAATAGGTTGTTTTGTATAAAAGTAATGTCCAGTATGAAAATTAGGTCAAGAAGTAGTAAATGCTCAAATATTTATATCTAAGGTAAGTATTGCATAGGTTTTTGAGAGAAGCAATTTTAATGTCATGACAGAGAAGCTGGGATTTTATGAAGTGACTGTCCTGTTTATAATCGTTCTATTAGAAGGGAATAAATTATTTCCATTACAAGAATTTTGCATACCTCAACACAGAAGATATTTTCAAGCTCACGTAATTTTGTTGAATCCTGAAAAAACCAAGTTTAAAAGTTAGGGATAGAGGTTTAGCATTAAATTGATAATTAGGGGATAGAAGAAAGAAAGAAACTAACTAATGGTACCTTAGCTCGGATCTTATCTGATTCTTTAATCTTTTGTTCTATTGCTTCAAATCTATGGAACATCTTAACAAATAATGTGGCTTGCTTACTCATGTTGTGTTTCTTGCCCATATTCTTCAGTATGTTGTCCAGGTCAGATGCAGTATGCCACTGCCCATTGTTTAGTTCATTCAGTATGATGTCCAGGTCAGAAGCAGCAGACCAGTGCCTCGTTTTTTGTTCCTCGTTTATATCCTTCTGTATGTTGATCAGGTCAGCCCGAGCAGGCCACTTAGTTGAGATTTTGTCAAGCTTTTCGGCTATTGTTGAAAAGAAAGATTTAACCTCATATTTGATCACCATTTTCAAAACCTGTATACAATTTGACATGTCTGCAGATTCATCCTGCATTTAACAGATTCATACAAATTAAACAATAGTTATGAATCAAAGCATGGAAACTAATAGAAAAAGTAAAAAATTGAAATGGAGTTCTAGGGACAAAGTTGCTGGATATACATTCTTCATCCGTCGAAGAAGTCTATCTTTCAGAATTTTGAGTACTTGCGGAGGAGATCTCTTCTCAATGATAAGTAGTACTCTTACAGGCTTTTCTTTTCCCGTTGGTTCTGGTTGATGGAAAGCTTCAGATGGTTTGTCGACATCATCGGTTCGACACCCTTTCTTCCTCCATTTTCCTTTTCCTTTTCCTTTCGGAGATTTCCGTTTCCTTTGCCCGGTCTTCCCACTTTCCTCGTCTGCAACATTGTTCTCAAATTCCAGTACTGCAAAAGAACGGCCCTCACTGTCGGGGGACGACGGGCGTGATTCAACAGTAGTGCCCTCATCCATCGTCATCTTGCAGGAATCTGGCATATTTCCCACCAACAAATTTTCTCAAACAAATAACACAATAAACCAACAAACCAGTACCAAAAATCCAAACACAAAAACACAATTTCCTTGATAAATTAAAGCAGAGCATATACTATACTTTGAATAAGGAAACTCAGATCAGTTCATTTAATGGATACATAAATATAAGAAACAAGAGGCAAATCAAGGATAAGAGCTTGCAATTGACCAAACATCGATCATCTTTCTTTCAAACAAATCACACAATAAACAATCACCAAAAATTCTAACACGAAAACAAATTTTCTCGAGAAATTAGAGCGACATATATTGTCAGTAACTATTACTCACCGATCGGATGTTCTGTCGGCAGAAGCAAAGAGATGGCGACCACAGAAGAAAAGCGAAAGAGAACATTTTAGGTTTTGAAGAGTAACTATTAAGAAGCTTTCTGCAGAGTTTCCAGAAGGAAGACCTTCATTTGACCATGCTCGAGTTCCTCTCCTCCATTTTTTGTATTTAAAGCATTATGAGTAAACTATTCATATGACCACTTAACTATTTTTCTTTTTTTTTGATCAGTTATTTTAAAATTTTGTCAAAAATACCACTTAACTATTTAATTGTGTCAATCAATAATTAATCATTTAAATAGTTAAGTGATCTGATTGATAAAATTTTAAAATCAATAGTTAAAATGAAAAAGGCAATAATTAAGTGGTCATATATATAATTTATCCAAACATCATTTTTACAATTTATCCATTTGTCTTACAAATTCCAGTCTTACAAATGATTAATCATATTTATTTAATAGATTATTGTCAGATGGGAAAAAGTTTTCCGTTCAAATAGTGATAATTACTACATTTGTGGTGTATTAAGAAATTATCACTTTAATTATTATTTGAAACAAATATTAATCTTTTTTTTACCTCGTGATATGAAATTATTATTATTCTTTGATGTCATAAGTTCGTGTATCATAAATATTAAAAATATAAATATTTAACATCATATGATTAAGAGTTATCTTTGAATCTTCATCAGCATCTCAGAGAGAACGATCCCGCACCAAACCATTACTCTAACGGTAAAGTGTGTCTTTAGCATGGACGGATAGAAGATGTGGTATCCGGTATTCTACATTATCGACCTGTCCTAAAACCATAACATCTATAGGCTGAGATGAAATGGCAATATATATATTCTCTCTACTTGCAATACATCTCTTATTAGGCTCGAGCCTATTATGAATTTGTAGCGGGAAAGAAAGAATGTTTAAATATCATTGCCCCTAAATTATACTATTTATAATAAGTTACCCTTTAAAGTAATTTTCAAGATCTTTTACTTCCTAAAATTTAAATCGTTATCTCATTTGTCTCAATTTGTTAATTCCGTTTAAAAAAAGATTAATTACATATTTAATCACTCAACTATTTTACAGTTATATTTCGGTCACCAAATTTGATTTGATTTATATTTTAAATTTATAACATATAAAAATTCATTTATATTAAAATTAAATAGTTACCCATCACCAGTAAAGAATTTCAACACACAAATGAGCTGTCGAAGCTTGTTGTTTCACTGCAGAGAAATGAGAAAAAAAGTTGCAGCCTGTAGATTCGTAACTAATAGGATCAACAATATCGATTCAGTGGCTTAGAGCAGAACGCGACGCCCGTGAGAGGTAAGCCATATTATCCAAAAGGTTTCATTTTTCAGTTACCTGGTCCTGGTTCATGTTTGTATAGTAGCTAGCTTTACTTTAGTTCCTTTGTCACACTCTAATTTGGGGCTAAATTTTTAAAAATTATAAAGTATGGAATTTAAGTGGTATTTTGAAAGAAATTGAGGATTAAATTATAAAATTGCAAAGTTGGCAGACCATTTTAGAAAGTGTAGGAATTCGGCGACCAAACCCATAATTTACCCATTTTTTAGATGAGAATTATAAATCCCTTCCCCGTATATTTTCCCAGAAAGTTTTCCATTTCCTCTCCCCCAGTCAATTATTTTGAGCTCCAATTTCTCCACCGTTCGGCTACCGTTATACGATCTGAAACCACCATCATGTTTGTTGTCGACCGATGAAAAAAAACCCTCAAACTTCTCGTCGTGAATCGGCGTCGTTCGCCGTAAATCTTAACCAGAAGTATTGTCGGTTTTAACTCGATCGTTATTGGTTTTCCGTCGATTCAGGTCGATCCGGCCACCCGTTTTCGACACCTACCGCATCATCGTGTTCCTTGCATCGTTCCGAGTCCGTCGGTGTCCTTCTTGTCTCCGTCGTTGCTGACGCGTGAAGGGGTGAGGAAGTCAAAGTTTTCGATGTTTCGGAATCGAACTCTCCGCCGTTAAAAATTGTGAACCTAGCTTGGTAAATGTCTCAAAATGCCTTAAAATAATTTTAGAAATTTTTTTGAAATTTTTCGGACACCGTACGAGGCCACACGCGCCACCCCTAAGAGTGGGGAAAGTCTGGACAACTTGAAATGACCCGACCCGCCTGCCCGACCCACTGACCCGACTGAGTCAACATGCGCTGAGTCAACTCACTTGGTTAACTCGTTGACTTTAACCGAGTCAACTCGTTGAACGTTGACCATTGACTTTGACAAAAAAGTTAAAATTTTCGAAAAGTCATATTTTATGTTGTTCGATGTTCTGAGTCCGATTCAGAAGTCCGTTTCACTAAATTCGAACCCGATAAGCTGTTTTTCACTGATTTATCACCAAATTCGATCCGTTTTTCATAATTAAGCTCCGTTTTTAATGAAATTTCTGTTTATATGTATCCGATGAATTATTGGAAGTTGATTTCAAGATCGAGGGTGTTCGAATGAAGTTTAAATGGTCGATCAGTATGGCACAAAATTGAGGTTATACATTACTACCTCTTTATGATTTATGGAACATGTTGATAATGGATAAATGCATGGATGTATATGATTGGTCTATTATGCCTGTTTGATTATGGATGGACTCGAACCGAATACAGTTATGAGAATGCTTCGATTAGGTAAAATTATGAAAATACCCTTATGTTGTAAAAAGACAAGAATTGACCCTGGAAGTTAAATAAGAAGTTTGTAAAGATATATTGATCTGATGAAACTACTGATGCGTACAGAAAATACTAGTTTTGCTTAGGAAATATGGATAACCGATTTCTAAACCCAAGATGACTTGTACAAGATACTAGAAAATTGATAAGGAATAATTTAAAGTTTAGAGATTATCCGGAAAAGCGATTAACCCTAGAATCTCTAAATTATAATTATCTTTGTTAAGAGTTTTAATACCGAAATTATATGGTTAAGAAATTACGAAATTACCTTTGAGAGGGAAAAGTAGCCCGAATTGACCCTGAATGGAAAAGTACTCAAGAAGTCATTCCTAAATCGATGAATTACTAGTTTCATCGTTAAGTTCACACGTTTATACAGAAAATTCCTGATAATCCATAAATCTCCGAGTTATGAGTAAATACCTGAAGAATAATTTATCGAGGGTGCTCTTTTGTCAGAATTGTTTGAAAAGACTGGAATAAATGATAAGTTTGAATTAAATAATAAGATCAGACAGAAGGAAAGGATTGAAATACCTTGGATTTTTAAAATGACCAAAATACCCCTATAATGGAATTGACCCAAGAATATCACCAAGCCCAGAAATAATTGGATATCCTCAAGCTTTGAAATGACTAAAATAACATTGAGCACCAAATTAACCAAAATACCCTTATGGCCTAGACTAAGCAAATGTATTGGATTAATTAAGGAATCTAAATAAATGTGGGTGTTGTATTACCCTTAAAATTTATGGAAATCAACTTAAGTGAGTCGATCAACCCCAATGATATATCAATACCTGAACGACATATATATCACTTGAATGCGTGTTCGTTTTCTCAAGTTTGGCTCGATGATAATTTTGGAAGTACTCAGCTCAGCTCAAATCTAGATCACATTTGGTACTAAGAAGTGGATATTCGTTAGACAAATCAGCCACGAATACCAAATTGAACTAAACGGAAGTAAAATATGTATCTGAAATTTAGAAACGTCTGAATTACTCTGGAAAACTCTGGAGTAACCGAGATAGACTTGACTACTAAATGAATTAAGTAACCTTAATTACTGATAATTTACTAAGTGATTGGATGAGTCTGGGAACACCAATGAACTTGCATGATGTACGGTTCCTATGGGTTATGAACTAAGAATCAAATACGTCGACAATTCTTGATATTGTTGCAATGTGGAAAGGAAATAAAGATTATTGGGGTAACTATTCGATTCCTTAAGATATATTCAGCGATGATTCTGAAGATGATATATGGACAAGAATTTTTGTATTAAGAGTAAATACCCTAGAAGGATAATGAATTGACTAGTCGACAAGCATTAGTTATGGGAGTTGTTCAGCTTGAGTTGTTTGATAATCTTATCAATCGATATGGATTGTAAATGTCCCGAATCTTCGTTCATCTCTTATCAACTCAAATCACTCCGGTCATATATGAGCATGCAAGTAACTCAGATGCAAAGGATATTGAATACTCCATTGGTTCAATTGGGCAGAAATCCTATGAATTCAATGTATACTCATGAATACCCATGATTGTTTGGGTAATGGAATCACTCTCAGTAAATCTAGAATTATTCTGTATAAAGGTTCCTGAACACTTTCCTGATGCACATGAATCATAGTAGGATTATAAAGTATTAACCTTAAATGTCTAATTAAATCGGTTAGTAATTAATTCACTTCAATAGGACCTCATTCCTGGAATCCGATCAAATTGTACAAGTTTCATGTTATCCATATTGATAAGTACAAAATGCCTCTGAAAAATACTTGGATCCTCTAGTGTATTCCATATGTACTACATGACGCTTTTATATGTTTTGAAATGAGTTTTAACGCAAGTATTGATTTACTGGTTTATGAACCATGGCAACATGGTATGCGATCTACGATTATGGTTTTTATAAAAAATTATGAGTTGTTTCTGATTTATGAAATCATGGGAACTACTGGTTTATGAATCATGGTTTTAAGTTTCACTGGTTATACTCGAACTGTTTTATTGGGATATTATATGGGTAGACTGGAGGTACAAATTTGATCAAGCTGAAAATTTCTTACGGACCTAAGGTGATCCTTGGGTAGGCTCTTAGGCCCCAAGACACTCCCTTGGGTTAATCATTTGACTACTTATGGTCAGTTATACGGTTTATTTCAATATCACGGTTATAATATATTACTGGATCATGATCTAGGTATTACGATTTACGGCTAAAATTGATTTCTACTGGATTTTTATATGGGTAGGATTCTAGAGTATGGAGGCATAACTCTGATCCAGCTGGTAAGTCCTTACGGACCTAAGGATACCCTTGGGTAGGCCCATAGGCCCCAAGGCATATCCTTAGGTTGGTTACCTTTGTTGTGTGCTTAGGGTA